TCCAGCCAGCCAGAGCAATACAGCAAGCCAAATCTCATTAGCCCCAGCTATGCTATAAATTAAGTGCAAAAAATAATAATAATCCAACGATTCATCTCTCTGCAACAACTGCAGCTATATATCAAACAACAGGGTCATGCATGTGAGGCCAAAAGAGATTTGTGTTACCGCTGTGACCACAATAACGATCTGTACTGCTTTGAGTTTGTGCCAACAAAGACATAGAGTGCTAATTTAAGATAATAATCCACAATCTAATTTAATTTCCAGTCATTCAGTCTGAGTAAGAAATTACAACTACATCTGTGTTAAACACGGCTCTCTGTGTGTTGTGCAGAACAGTCTTCAGCAAAGACAAACTTTAAACACATCTTTAAAAACGTACTTGTGTCCAAAAGGGGAAAAGTCATCAGTTGGAGAGTCAAATAATAAAAATGTCTGCTGATTCAGCTGAACTGTTGCCAGCTCACTCGTGGACCTTGCCATGTTACAACTGCTCCTAAAGCTTGACGTGGAGACAGATGCATTATGGGAGTAAATGTAAACCTCATGTAATGACAGCCCTGGTGGAGAAGCACAGCCCTTTAATAAAAGGAGGTCACTGCAGTCATAATGCCTTTTATTCTGAGGCTTAACTCGGTTTGAGACAATGAGCTGATGTTTGTGCTAAAAGTGTTTTAACAGTCTAGAACGTAACCGAGCAAATCATATAAAAAGTGTGTAATCATGTTATTTTTCATATTCTCTACACTCTCTGCATAATGAAGCTGATTATATTCCTGGTTTGTCCTTTACAATGTGTAACTTTACACACTCAGCTGTTTGAAATCTGCCCACTGCTGCTTTCAGGTGAAATTCTTGAGTAAAAACTGACTTTAGCGTAGAAAAACTGAGCCTTTAGAGACGAGCTGCATGTTGCAGCTTGCAGAGTTACATTGCCTTTGGTTCATCCCATGAGGGAGAGGTGGAGTAGGGGGTTTGCACTTCTCTTTGAATGGCAGGAAAACTGGATTAACTTGCTGGTTTATATGGTGATTGTGCCGTCACGTCACTGCATTGTGATCTTTAACAATCAAGATTTTTGTGTGCACAAAGTTGATGGATGAGTGGAAATCTTCTATAAAAGGTAGAACAAAGATGGCCATTGCTATGAACAGACACGGGTTAAAGTTTTATGCACTCTGCCTAATAAAATCTTTATTTGCTTGCAGATTAAATCGATTTGATTCAATTAGCTGTGGTTACTGAGGGGTAGAGTGCCACAGCTTGCTGCTGACACAAAAGTAAATACACAAATGTGCCATGTTTGATGGACATGTAAGCATGTTGCAGCTGTGAATTTTTATCCAAGTGGACCAGAGGAGATCATACTTGGACTGAACCCAGAAGTCTGCTTCAGGAACTGCGAGAAATCCCAAAACCCCAGACCCCTCGTTTCACCTGCGTCACAGTCAGCCTGGATGGGATTTCCCCAAGACGCTAGCCAAAGAACAGAGTATCCGGTGAGGCTTCCCTGCACTTTTGGATGAACATTAGAGATTTCACTCCACGTGTCAACAAAAGAGAGAGAAAAAAGAGCAGCTTTCTGGCACGAGAACAACTGAGAGGCAGCCAAACCACTTGTGCTGCTTTAAAAGCAGGAAAGCGTGTGGTGTGAAGATAGGACTCACACTCACAGTGATACAGAGTAAGTTGATATTCACAGGTGGGTTGGTGCTGAGATGTTTGAGAATATTACAGTGTTTGAGCTTAAGCCCACACCCGTAAGCTTTGAAAAGAGATTTGAATAGAGAAGCAGCCCAGTGGAGGATTATTCTGCAGTCTGATCATAAGAAAACAAAGCGACCTGTTGGTCTTGCCTCTGCATGTTTGCCTGTCATTAATTTACAGCCGGTAACCTGTTTAGTGGCAAACTGCCACTGACTGTCGCCCGCTCAACCACGAGGCCCCAAGGCTAACTCTGTGTGTTATTTGCATCGTACACGTTCTACTTCCAAACGTTCTTCAAACACCCTTGGCATGAGATCAGGCGCCTGCCGTTAAGAGGAAGCTGGATGGGTTTCATCTAATAAATGAAAACTCGATTGGCATGCAGTGCAGTTATATCTTTACTCTGAGCAAACACAGATGTGAATATAAACAACAACAAACGGACACATCCTTCATCAACACAACCAGGATAATTATGAGTTTTTAGTTAATTAATTCATTCCCGATAAGAGGGTAAAAAGTTGGAATGAGATCAGGAAGTTTTCAAATTAAAAGTCTTTCAAATAACACATCATCACCTGACTGAGTGAGGTGAAACACATTTATCTTCTGACATATTCACCTTTCGACTGTTTACCACCAACAACAAAAGACAACAGCCAATACTGGTATTCTGAGATGTGTGAATGCTTATCAGTGTGAAATACAACAGGTGTGTATGCCACAGCAAACAATGACCCTAGTGACCTCAATAAAGACCTAGAAGGGTCGCAACTGGATTTAATGCCATGTAAAACAAAAGCATTTTGAATACCTTTCCCCCCACAAACTCCATAGAGTAGCTTTAGTTTTTTACAGTTGCCCTACTTTGATTTTTTTATGGGCAAAAAAGCTTCATGTGCAACTGATGGGTTAATGTTCATTTTATTTCCAATATTTTACCCTGTCTAACTGGCAGAGGTCTTAAAAACCACTCTTTATCTCCCAAATCATCTGAGCGGACACGAGGTCTGGTTTTTGCATCTGCTGCTTTTTCTAACAGGTCACTTTGACTGGAAATGGACAGCAGTGTGTACAACTCAGGTATCAGCTTTAAACAAAAACAGCAGCAACAAGTGCCTTTAAACACATTCTATAAAGCAAAAGAAGGCTTTTAAGAGCTGAACCCCATCGCCTTCCATACGTTTCTAATCCTCACTGGGCCAATCGCAACGGAAATGCCTCCTACCCCACCCCCACCTGTTTGCTGTAGCAGTATTTCTCTCCACTGGAAACCCTGTTGCAGGAGGGGGGGCAGTACCGGTCAGAGGAAGGATACCATATGCCAGATTGGACCAAAGAGATTAGAGAGGCATTTTTTTCCTAAGGTGATTGGCGCACAGTGGGGTGCGGGTGTGATAAGGGCAAAGGAAATCCCTCTTGAGATGGTGCCATGTTCTGCAGTTTAACAGCTGACACTTTCTTTTATTTCCAAACCAGGATGCTTGAAAGGAACTTTTCGCATTCGTTTAGCTTCAAATCAAGTAACTTGGTTTTTTATGGATGCGTTTTTATGATTTCCACTTTCGCCTTTAGTCTGTGACACAACTACAAACTGAAATGGTCAAACTTTTAAGAACTTTGCATTTGTGTGATCCCATAAACACGCATAATGAAGAACATGAGGCAATCCGTTTAAAATATAAACATTCAAAAAAGTCCTAATTCAGAAAAATTGGCAATGCCCAATGTTAAAAAATGAAAAGCTGGGGATCTCTAGTGAACAAAGTTGTCCTAATTGCTTTCTGAACACGTAAGCTGAAGGTCATTAAGACAAAAGACGTTTAGCTGACTTGAAAACAAAACCTGCTTCCTGAATCCCCTCACTCCCCCACTTCTCCACTTCTTGGTGAGAAACGTTTGCACCAACCACAAACCAAATGCCAGACACTTTTGGATGTGGCTGTGAGGTTTATCAGCTTTGTGTAACCAAGCCAAATTTCCTAACAGAATATAGTACAAGGACCTCTTGACTCCTTTTGGGATAGAAAAGTCTGCTGCTGACCCACTTCATGCTGACTGACGTCATACTGAGAAACACTTCCCATCATTACGCTGTTGTGGTCCTGGAGGCAGCTCCCTCCTCGTGTCCAACACTCTCCCAACACACTGAACCTTATGAAGCATTTTATCCACATATCTCCTTGGCTTTTTCACATTTGCACTGAATTAGTTCAGCTATTTAATCTGCTTTAAATGAATTATCTTTGCTACAATCTGTTGGCAGAAATTGGTTATTCAGATAACCTTGACATGTTTGGATTGTCAGAAAACAATGCAAATTTAGAAGCTAATAATTCCTTTGATTGCCAAGTAAACCATCATTTTGGTCACAGTCTAGCTGTGAGGAACTGAAACAGTCATTTAACTTTTGATAAATCATCTTAAGTTTCAGTCCACTTTTTGGGCCAATTCAACTTTTGAATAAATGACATATATCCAATAACAAACTTCAAATTCATTCATTAAAAAAACTTAAATTCTCTACTTTTTCCCACTAAAGAGACAGATGGGGCAAACGTTTCTTTCATATGTTCACTTTGGGGGCAATTTGCTGTACAATATATCAGGAAACGTTTAGTGACGTTGTAAAATGTTACGTTCAGTTTCCATGGGAAACAACACAACTCTAAAAAATGTGTACATTTTTTAAAGCAAGTATTATTAGAAAACGACAGTGGTTTTATGTGTAATTAGTCTCTTAGGAAAGTGATTATTTTCACTTATAAAGTAAATAAATCGCCCTGTGTTGGTAACAGAAACCGTAATTTCCTATCAGCATCGATTTTTACGACATTCACATAAGAGCTGAAACGCTGCTTGACGGTCAGAACTCGGACGTATCTTACGCACAGAAGTTAAGCTAAAGCAGACCGAATGGCTCAACTTTCTGTATTTTGTTAAAACGAGATTAAAATTCACCAAGAAGAAATTCATTTAGTAGAAAAATGATGAATCTTTGATCCGGTTTGAGTATGAAAACAGCCGTCGGTCCCGGTGCGTCGCAGCGGGTGACTCGCGGCAGCCGCTGAGTTTATCCCCTACCTTTGCTATAGGTTATCGAGCTGCCATTTGATAACGTCGAATCGATTTTTACAGCGGAAAAAAAATTAACTGCGCCCTTTAATTGACGGCTCAGACAACAAGAGAATAGAAATGAGGAAGCTTTACAAAAAAAACGGTTTAAAAGTCAACAACAACATAAATAAATAAATAAATAAAGCAAAAGGGGAGAAAATAAACAACCTTACCACATCGGCTTCCGTTCGCTTTTCACACCGTTTGGAGCCGGAAGAAACATTCCCGTTTTCTCCCCTTTCTGGATTCTGATTCTGCCCCTTCAGATCAGAGGGAGGAGAAGAAAAAACGGCACCAAATCGATGAAAAGGAGGGGTGGTTCGTGTGTCTATCAGCTCAAAATGAAGTGGTTTCATGTGACCAGCTGCATGATTTCCACGCATTCGGCTCTAGCGTGTGAATATGTGTTTTCAGAGTTTGACTCAGGCAGACACACGGACCGTGAGAGGCGTGGAGTCTCTGCAGCCTTCAGTCACATCATTGGTTGACAAACAGCAATCAGATGCAAATTCCTAACCTCTGAATCAGCAGGGGCCGGGCCCCCGTGTACCCCCACCCCCCGCAGCGGGGCGTGAGCGTGAGCCGACCGGGAGCGCCTCCGGTGCTACCGTGAGTCAGTCCGACTCAAGCTCACTCCCACAGATAAATCTGAGAAACTGTGGCAACGTTAGTAAAGTTTGGCATAAGTAAAATAAAATAACCTCATTTGATCAACTGGCAAAATAATGTATGTGTGGAAATAAGAAATTATTATTTCTAAACGTAATAAACTCCTCTAACAGACTTATTTTTGTTTACATTTTGTGGTTCTTATCACTTATATTATCTAACAAATGAAAAACTATTTATGAATTAGGCAAAAGTAACTACCTGGTTAGAGAATAATAAAACAAGTCATTATGTGGCACAAATGCTTGATATTTCTCATATTTTAGCGTCACCATATATCACTTTATATTTAATTTATAGGAGAAAAAAACTTTGGAACAAAAATAAACATAGATTTTCACTGGTTAGATGAAAAGCAGATAAATATATATATACCAGTATATATGTTTCATTTCAACAGCAGATTTACTTTGTTTTACGTTTTTGAATTTTTTTGCAAATTTGTTAAAGAACAAAATGAAAAATAATTATAAATAAAAAACTAAATCATACAAAAAAGGCAGAATAATTAAGTGTGTGTGTGTGCGCGCGCATGTGTGTGTACAGTGGTGTGAAAAACTATTTGCCCCTTCCTGATTTCTTATTCTTTTGCATGTTTGTCACACAAAATGTTTCTGATCATCAAACACATTTAACCATTAGTCAAAGATAACACAAGTAAACACAAAATGCAATTTTGAAATGATGGTTTTTATTATTTAGGGAGAGAACAAAATCCAAACCTACATTGCCCTGTGTGAAAAAGTAACTGCCCCCTTGTTAAAAAATAACCCAACTGTGGTGTTTCCATCGACATAAATATACACCTGAGTTCAATTTCTGTAGCCACCCCCAAGCCTGATTACTGCCACTCCTGTTTCAATGATTGATCTCAATGATTGCCAAGACTTTTGGGAAAATACCTTGTGGACTGATGAGACAAAAGTTGAACTTTTTGGAAGGCAAATGTCCCGTTACATCTGGCGTAGAAGTAACACAGCATTTCAGACAAAGAACATCATACCAACAGTAAAATATGGTGGTGGTAGTGTGATGGTCTGGGGTTGTTTTGCTGCTTCAGGAACTGGAAGGCTTGCTGTGATAAATGAAACCATGAATTCTAATGTCTACCAAAACATCCTGAAGGAGAATGTCCGGCCATCTGTTCGTCAACAAAAGCTGAAGCGATCTTGGGTGCTGCAGCAGGACAATGACCCAAAACACACCAGCAAATCCACCTCTGAATGGCTGAAGAACAACAAAATGAAGACTTTGGAGTGGCATAGTCAAAGTCCTGACCTGAATCCTATTGAGATGCTATGACATGACCTTATAAAGGCGGTTCATGCTAGAAAACCCTCAAATAAAGCTGAATTACAACAATTCTGTAAAGATGAGTGGGCCAAAATTCCTCCAGAGCGCTGTAAAAGACTCGTAGCAAGTTATCGCAAACGCTTGATTGCAGTTATTGCTGCTAAGGGAGGCCCAACCAGTTATTAGGTTCAGGGGGCAATTACTTTTTCACACAGGGCAATGTAGGTTTGGATTTTGTTCTCTCCCTAAATAATAAAAACCATCATTTCAAAACTGCATTTTGTGTTTACTTGTGTTATCTTTGACTAATGGTTAAATGTGTTTGATGATCAGAAACATTTTGTGTGACAAACATGCAAAAGAATAAGAAATCAGGAAGGGGGCAAAGAGTTTTTCACACCACTGTATAAGGTAATTTAAAAGTAAATTTGATATTTTTTGTCTTTAATCCTAACCAAAAGGGTTCGTCCTCTTAGTTCCCTTGGATAAAAAGCAATTCAAACTGAACTTAAGGATGTTTAATCAGGTTGTAGGCTCATATAGTTTTGAAACATAAAGATTTAAAAATTATCTCCGTAGTTTCACCTAAAACTAGCAGAGCTACAGCTCATTCTGTGTGGGAGCTGAATTCACTTAAACTGTTTTTACTTGACCCTTTACCTTCAGAAGTCTAAATGAATGAGTCACAGAAACAGATTTTTTTATCAACACTAAACAGAAAATTGTTTGATATCCACACACTCGTGAAATGTTGGTTCTGTTTATGAGACGCAAAGACTCAACAGGACAATAAAATGCAAACCCTGTTTGTTTTGTGTCTTAAAGGAGATTATCTGCTCATCGCTGCAAATGAACCAGTTTCAGACATCATTTGGTTAAATTTACAGTAAAAGCTGAACAAAAGCTATTTGGCCAAATATCAGCCACCTGAAACACCATATGAACAGCCACTTTTCTAACTATTTATTATAATGTTGAATAAAACCATCCTGCTGTGGATGGTGGCTGCAGCTGTTCACTAAAAACAAAGAGCTTAGAGAGATATTTTAAAACAGAAAACCAATCCTCTATCAGATGAAAAAGGATCCAGGCTGCACACATGTTCATTGCCCTCCACTCACTGACAGATGAAATTAAATTCAAATGAGTTTAGCTGGTGATGACAACTGCAATTTCACACTTGATACCAAAATAATTAAAGACGACTGATACTTCTCAGCTCAAGTGGACCTCTGCCAGGGTGTGGTTCAGACTGGAAATAACCACTTTCACTGCTAAAGTCACACAAGTAGAAATTACTACTGAAACATGACTTTTTTCAATTCTATTCAAAAATACTTAATTAATCCCAGAGGGAAATTCATTATAAACTTTCAGATTTGGAAATGTATGGGTTTACCCCTTTAAATGCACAAAAGTTACATAAAACACTTGGATGTTGTGTTCCATTTGTGTAACTTCAAAACACACATCAGTAATATTTGTTAAAATATGATTTTAACCTTGACTTGCTCTTATGATTCAATGCTGTTAAAATTGGCTTCAACATGTAGCAACATGTCCCTTTATGTTGGATTTAAAATGTAAACTGTTTTTGGGCTCAGATCAGGCCATCCACGATTACGACGCCACACACAACACTGTAAATTTAAAAAAAGGAAATAAAATGAAGCCGCTCATGTATTTGTTGGCTCAGACCACATTGTGCCACCTCACAGTGCATCAGCTGGTTTTGAATTTTTGCTGTTATCAAAATGCAGATTTCCATCATTTCTTGGTTGTAAACTAATGCTGAGAACTCATCAAACCACTTAACCACATCCCCCGATCTTGTTCACCACCTGTGGCTCTTCATTTCTCTCTTCAGAGAGAAAAACAAGAGATGGCAACACCAAAATGGTCCAGTAGCTCAGAAAACTTTACTCTGATCGATTCATTGTACTTTGGCGCTATCTAATGGATGATGTGAGAACACCTCAACCAAAGTTAGTTTTTAAAGGCATACTGCGCAACTTTTGCATTTTTTTAAACAATTTTCTTGAGCCACTTTGTCAGGGCAATTCAATTCCGGGCCTCGAGGGCCGATATGCAACATGTTTTAGTGATTTCTCTGGTCCAACACACTAGATTCAGTGGTTGAATCACCTGTGCAGCAGCTCATCAGGCTCTGCAGAAGCATGTTAATCACCTACCTGCTTATTACAATCAGGTGTGTTGAAACAGGGTTAAAACCAAAACGTGCTGGATACCGGCCCTCAAGGAATGGAATCAAATAGCCCTGCAGTATGTGCTAAAATGACCCATTTACAGAGTTAATGACACCCCCTGTAGCCAGAATGCCACACTTGCAACTTCAGAATATCTTGAAAGGTTTGTTAGTCAATAGACTCATTGAAGCGTGACCCAGCAGGGTCGGGGGTTGACACACTTAGCTGTAGGCTGCACAAGTAGATTAAAGAAGAACAGTAAAGTTAAAATTTACAGGTTTTCAACTGATAAAATACACTGAAGGCAGTGGTTAAAGTTTCAGTGGATAAATCTCCCACATCGTGGTGATGGAATACAACAGTAAAATGTATGCCTCACATGTCCAGAATAAACAGGTTATAGCCATCTAATGACTTATGTGCTTTTATTATATAGTTATGAATGACCGCACAGGATGAAGAGCAAGCTGGGGGAGAACCAATGTCCGGAGCGGATCCAGCAGCGGGGAGGAGCACCGGCAGAGCCGGATTAACGCAAAGGCAAAGTAGGCACGTGCCTAGGGCCTGATTGGCTGGATGGGGCCCAGACAGAGGAACAAAAATATAAATAAATAAATTAAAAATTAAATGTACAAATGTCCTATGATAGAATTTGTAGCTAGGACTCCTATCTACAATTTGTTTCAATAATTTATCAATTAACTAAAAATAGTGACAATGTTTATCTTAACCATAGACCGTTTCATTGGCTACATCACATTAAACCTCTGGGGTCCACGGACAATACACGTCTTTTGAACAGGTCTGATTTGGGACGCTGTAGCAGCAAGACTCTGCCTCCCCGAGTTTCGGTTTCAATTCAGCTTTAAAAAGAAGATTATAAACTACACCCCAGTTTTTAAATTTTGTTAATAGGCAACGTAAAAGCGGAGTTATACTAAACTAAAAAATGACCTATTTTTAGACAATCTGATAACTTGTCAAAACAGCGGTTTAGTAATCTGTGAGCGGGAATGTGCTTGTGAACATTAAAAACCCACAAAAACACGAGATCCTTTTGCTGTTGGTGGAAGTCTCACATATTCAGTTGATAAAAAGTATCATTATGTAGCTGAGAGAGAGAAAGGAAGGCTGCACGAGTAAAGAGATGTGCGCAAAAAGGAGCCGCTTTGCGGGGAAAGTAGTGGCGCGAACGGAGTAACAACAAACAATTAGACAGATATTGACGGTAAACTTTGTATTTTGGAGCGATCCGGACAGATATATTGTCTCTGCAGTTTAGTAGGCTTTTATTAGGCTTATATAAAGGATGATGAGAAGGATAAATGTCCACCAGGCAGTTCAGATAGTACGGCTGTTTTTTTTTTAACTGGAAGCAGAGGAAGTGGACGGAGACTCGCTGAGGCAAACAGCGAGGATGTTGATGATGATGTGGCAGATCCATCCTTCCTCATAGAAGAGTTGGGTCATGATGAGGTAGAGGATGAAGGCAGAGATCCAGCTCCTCGGAGATGCAACAAGAGGAGTGGGCGGCGCCGCGCAGCTGTCAGATC